CCCCCGCCCCCCCCGGGGGGGTGCCCTGGGCAGGGGCTCCGCCACTGAGCCACACCCCCAGCCCCTCACTGGGGGATCCTAGGCAGGGGCTCTGCCACTGAGCCACACCCCCAGCCCCTCACTGGGGGATCCTAGGCAGGGGCTCTGCCACTGAGCCACACCCCCAGCCCCTCACTGGGGGATCCTAGGCAGGGGCTCTGCCACTGAGCCACACCCCCAGCCCCTCACTGGGGGATCCTAGGCAGGGGCTCTGCCACTGAGCCACACCCCCAGCCCCTCACTGGGGGATTCTAGGCAGGGGCTCTGCCACTGAGTTACATCCCCATTCCCATTTCAGAAGCTTCTCTCAGTAGAAACTAAAGCTTTTATCTCCATCTTTGAGGAACTTTACGTCTCAGAGTCATTACTGGGTGTGATGATGCAGGACTGTAGCCCCAGCCACAAGAGGCAGAAGGAGCCATTACAAAGTTCCTGGATAGACTGGGCTACACAGACTATAACATCAGGTTTCAGAGTGGAGCCCTCTTTGAGATCAGAAGGAAGGGCCTTTCCGGAATACTCAGTTTACATCCTCCTGCCTTGTCGGGAGTCTCAGGAGGAGTCAGGGAGTCTCCAGCCCCAGGAGTGGAGAAGACTCAAGGTCACACATACTCAGATGAGCCACCAGCCCCAACAGGTTCTAGTCCTCGTGGCTCTCCAGACAGAGGCTGGTGTCAACATGTCTTAGCTGGCCCCACAGCCTACACCTTTACCGCCAAAGCTAAAAGGTGACAGGGCTGGCGGGCGTGGCGGCTGCTATGGGGATAGAGATGGCTGGTGTAACCGGTTCCCGGCAGCCTAGCTTCCTCCTGCTGGCTTATGACCATAGCTGCCTCTCTGGCTCTGGCCATCCCCCTGTCCCTCTTCTTAACAATGGGTCAGTGTGAACAGGGCTCCTGTAGACAGTGACAGAGAGGAAGCGGTGATGTTGTACCCGCCCCTGGCTGGCCTGGAACTCACTCTGTGGACCAAGCTGGCTTCAAACTCAGAGATCCACCTGCCTCTGCCTCCCGAGTGCTGGGATTAAAGGCGTGGCCACCACCACTTGGCTAATTTATTTTATTTTTAAGTATGTGAATGTATGTTGGTACGAACACATGAGTTCCGGTGCTCTCTGAGGCTGGAGAGGGCACTGAATCCCTTGGAGCTGGAGTTCCGGGCAGCTGTGAGCTCTTGTGCATGGATGGGTGCTGGGAGTTGAACTCAGGCTGCCGAACAATTCAACCCCAGGTTTCTTTCTTTTCTTTCATTGTATTTCTTCCTTTTTCTTTTTGCTTTTTGAGGCAGGGTCTCGTATTGTCTGAGCTAACCTCCAACTTGCTGAGTAGCCAAGGATTACATCTTAACTCATGATCCCCTTGTCTGCACCTCCCAAGTGCTGGGTTGGAGGGGTGCACCACAGACGTGCACTGGGCTCCAGGCTGTCTGAATTGTGTTTTCTTGCTTATTAGCAAGAGGGTTGTGTGTACGTGTGTGCTTCTGTGAGTGTGTGTGCGCTCCTGTGTGTGGAGTGTTTTGTGCTTGTGTGTGTGTGTGTGTGTGTATGTGTATGTGTGTGCCTCTCTGTGTGTGATGTGTTGGTGTGTAATGCCCCCGTGTATGGAGTGTGTGTGTGTGTGTGTATGTGTGTGTGTGTGTGTCGCTGTTTCTCTGTCTGTGTGTTGTGTGTGTGTGTGGTGACCCTGTGTGTAGAGAGTGTGTGTGTGTGTGTGTGTTTGTGGGTGGGTGTGCCTCTCTGTGTGTGTTGCGATGGTGTGTAATGCCCCTGTGTATGGAGTGTGTGTGTGTGTGTGTGTGTGCCTTTCTGTGTGTGTGATGTGTGCCTCTCTGTGTGTGATGTGATGGTGTGTAATGCCCCTGTGTATGGAGTGTGTGTGTGTGTGTGTGTGTATGTACCTCTCTGTGTGTGATGTGATGGTGTGTAATGCCCCTGTGTATGGAGTGTGTGTGTGTGTGTGTGTGTATGTACCTCTCTGTGTGTGATGTGATGGTGTGTAATGCCCCTGTGTATGGAGTGTGTGTGGGGTGTGGTGTGTATGTACCTCTCTGTGTGTGATGTGATGGTGTGTAATGCCCCTGTGTATGGAGTGTGGTGTGTGTGTGTGTGTGTGTGCCTCTCTGTGTGTGATGGGTGTGTGTGCAGTGTGTTGCTATTAGGCATTGTGTCCTTGTACATAGAAGCCAAGGGTCAATGTCACATATGCTCCGCTATCTCTCTCCACCTTACGTGTGGCTGTTTTTTAAGGTTTGTTTCTTTTGTTTTATGTATATGAGTGTTTGGCGTGCTGGAGTCACGGGTGGTTGGGAGCTGCCATGTGGGTGCTGAGAATCGAACCTCTTGACCTCTGAACCATCTGTCCATCCCCACCTTAGTTTTTGAGACAAGGTTTCTTTCTGGACAGGTTTGGCTGGAGCAGCTAAGCAGCCACTGCCTGTGACTGCCTGTCTCCACTTCCTCCGAGCTGGCATTCCCAGCATGCCCCTGCTCTGAGTTTCACTGGGGTGCTCAGGGCTTACTTCAATTCTTCATGTTTACACAGAAAGGCCTGAACCCACTGAGCCAGCTCTCCCACAGCCTTTAACCCAGGTTAACCTCTCAGTTACTTAGCCTCCTATTGGCATGCGCCACCATGGTTGGAATTTTTTTTTAAGGTAGGGCTCTCTCTGTCTCCCAGGCTGGTCTGAAACTAGAAATCCTTTACGGGACTGGAGAGATGGCTTAGTGGTTAAGAGCACTGGCTGCTCATCTAGAGGACCTGGGTTCAATTCCCAACACCCACGTGGCAGCTCACAACTGTCTGTGACTCCAAGATCTGACACCTTCACACAGACACACATGCAGGGAAAACACCAATGCACATGAAATAAAATAAATCTTTTTAAAAAAGAAAAGAAAGAAAGAAATCTTTTGCAGCTAG